CCGGATCTCAGCACATTGTTGGTGTAACTATTTCAAAATAAAACTCTATATACAATTATATTGAAAGCTTTGGAATTGGAATGACTTTTTTACAACCAAGGTCATGACAGACAACTTCCGGTTCCGTTGACAGTTGACGTAACTCTTACGTTATCAGAAATGATTTCGACATTTTTTCAGATTAATTTGAATTCAAACAGACAGTTGATTTGAAATAGCAGTAATCAAATCAACAGCCTTCCTGAATTTACTTATTTCATCTGCAAGCTTTTACATCCTACACGATTTTAGGCAGACATTGTGCTAAGGCTCAAGCGGTGAGATTTCGAACCATAAATAACATAATAGTGTAAGTTGTACAAGGATAGAATAAACACGAATAAGCCAAGTAATTATTTGGAGTAGCATGGGGTGAAGATTTACGTCTTACTTTAGTCTCAGAAACGAGATTTTTTCTTAGCTAAGCCAATCATTGATAGTTTTCACAGCTGACCGTCAAAATTTCAAATCCATGTGTGTCCAGAATTATTCCCGTTTAAAAGTTAAAAAGACGAGTTGTCTTTTCTTGAGACACTGTCATATATAGAAATAGGAAAAAAGTCCCAGTTTAAAAAATTTATTTTTGAAGGAGTTATGCTATTTTTGTACAATTCTAATACTTCTGAAGACTATTTACATATATTTAACACTCAAATCAACCCCCAAAATGGCGCATCTGTCCCTTCAACCTATAATCAATTCATTATGTAAGATACAAGTACAGCATGTTTTAACAATCCAGAACCATCTGTTACAACGCTATGCAACATCAATTCATTAATAATGTAATGTAAAAATCAATTCAATCTAAATGCATTGTCACTCAAATGTCAATCGAACGTTAATTCAATGGCAATCAAAGTCTGAACTGAGGTTGAAACTGTAATTTGTATGAGTAGGCTGACTTTCTAAATAATTATCTCGTCAACTGACTTGAAGACAGCCAGGTGAATTGGTGTAATTATCAAGTGAACATGTCTTGAAATCTGATTTTGATTGTCTTGTTTTCTTTGTATCAACAAACAACAGTTTCAAGGACAAAATCCATACGAAACTACTGATGGTTCTAACATGGAAATAACACACGAACGTAGCTAACAACCATTTTGAATCACTACATCGACTTAATGAGTCGATTTTTCCAAAAGGCTTTAAATTTTAACCAAGCGTTCATATCACATTTTAAGGTTTAGAAATAGATTTAAATGTGATTTAAAGCCTTGGTTGAAATATTATAGCCTTTTTAAAAAATTCGACTTATCAAGTCGAGATTGTGATTCAAAATGGTTGTGAATTACGTTCGTGTGCGTTATTTCCATGTAAACACATGTAGTTTCATTTAGGAAAACCAAGCTTTTGACGTTTCTTATGCTCTTGAACAATTTATGACCTGTGACTTATTCAATGGCGGCACCAGCCTCTCGAGACTGGGGGTAAAAATAGAGGGCAGACTTTTTGATGACGCTGAGATTCAAAATGCCGCAGTTCTTTTTAAGCGCCATATAGTCTAAAGTCTATATGGTGCTTATGGAGAGGGTTCCCTGGAAAAAGTCCTCAGAAATAGTATTGATTTGGTGAATTATGACATAAATTTTGGGAGAAAACGTTTAAAAATCAAGTTGGTAGTACAACGTATGTTATGGTTCAAATGAGGATGCAAATGCCTCCTCCTGGCGCCGCAAATACAAATGCAAGATCAAGCTTCTGACATTTCTAATGCTGTTGAAGCATACTGAAAAAAACATATACTGTTGAACACTCCATTTCCAAGCCACCTGTGACTTATTCCGCAAGTAATTCCAGATTAGAACGGATTATAAAAAGGATTCGCAGAAGTTTTCAGACAAAAATACTTATAAAGGGGATTAAAAGACGTTTTACAGCATGACTATATGATTGTGTTGTTGTTACTTTAAGGTTCTTCTTTACTTATATTATAGTGGCTTATAGATCTGCTGTGGTACCATCATAATCTTATCACATTTGCCTGGAATTACAGAAACCACAGATGTCGAATTGGCAATCAGAATGGTGCAATTAACAAAAGGCTGCAAGTGTTTTTGTGCAAAGCATGAATAGATCAAAAAACACCTCACCCATTTTACCAGATTAGCATAGCCGGACAATGATAACAAGCAACGGGGATGATTCAACACATAGATATGTAATACGGCACCTGTTTTTTTCGTACATTCTTATCAGAAGCAGAAATACACTGATTACTGTGTTACTAACATGCACTATTCGTGTTGATGAATATATTATCCCTTTTACGAAAAAGACCCATTGTTTTAATGGGAATTACCTATTAATATTTATCTCGTATGAAATGATGGTCTCATGAATCATGGATAACTCTTGGGGTCCAGAGTGTTTTATCCTTCATTGACCTTTTGCAACTGATTGCCACCCTGAAAAAATACTGACAACCGACCAATTCTATCAGTCTATATTACTTGACCCCCAAACTGTCAAGTCTGGCTACGGCTTGGACCTAGTTACGGGCATGATATTCGCATTGATACATATTAATGTCAAGATCTTGCAAAAATAGGGGAAGCTGTACCTACAGGTACAACACACGTGTTACTACCTTTATATTCCTGGAGCTGTAAGATTGCTGAATTTTTTAAGGACCTCGTAACAAGCTTAATATTCAAATTGATAAGATAAGTTTCAACATTTTTCCGGGCGTATTTTGAAAATGCCTGAGGGGAGGGGCTGGAGGCCGAAGTTCGTTGAGACCGGGTGACTTGGGGTGTCAGAGCCCCCAGGAAGCCAACGGTGGCCTGAGATGAATTTTGAGCATTTCAAAATAAGATCTTTCGTACGCGGAGAGTCATGGTACCCAAGGGTAGCGATGGATCTATCTCCGTTCGATAACACGCCACCCCATTCAGTAATGAACGTATAAACAACATGCTACCCGTGTTAAGGAATATATCTTACCGACAATAATTACCGATACATGAAAGAGGTCCAGGATTTGAAGATTTTAACATCCCTTTTCTAGTCCTCATTAACCCGACTGAGATATACCTACACATAATTTACATGGTAATGACCAGCAATGTAAACAAAGTTGATTTATTGTTATTGTTTATCGTTATTATAATAATATTGTCGAGAAAAGATATTTGTGCATCCGGGTCCGATTCAAAACATAAACATGGTAGGTAGTTCAAGTGACAGATGCGCCATTCTTTTCGACCAATCATACTTAAGTCTAGGAAACGGGATTTGTTTTAGCTAAGACAATCAGTAATATTGCCGAAATTTGAACGTTCAAATCCGTGTGTGTCCAGCATTATCCGCGTTTGAATGTTAAAACGACGACTACTTACATATTTTCAAGACTCAAATCAACCCCCCAAAATGATGCATTTGTCCCTTTAAAGCATATATCAAAAACACAAGGGAATATATTATGGTAGAACACATCTCTTTAATAATTGACTTTAATTTAAAACTAACACATGCCCACTAACAATTCACACGTGTCGTCATCAGACGACATTTCAGCTCTCCGCTTCTAAATGTCGTTTAAATCATACGACTGTAGTTAAAAGAGGCAATGGACACAATGTAATATTAGTTTTAATTCTGCCCAAAAAATCAGTGTATGTGTTTTATATCGGACCCGGATGTGCATAAATATATTCACTCGACTATACTTACAGGGACAGATGCGGCATTTCCGGTAGTAAATATATCACATCTTGTTCTCAGAAATGTGAATTGTTCCGCTAAACTAATCAACGCACAGAAGCGACAGACTTGATGTTAGGTTAGAGACTATATCAACATGACGTTCAACTTTCTGATATCTCATCTTTCAGATGGAAGATATCCTTTTGAGCAAAATAAATAAATGTTAAGTTTCTTGTTTAATCTATTTAAGGAATTGTGCGATTTTCCCACAGTTTTAGTAGTTCTGAAGACATTACATATATTCCAGATCCAAATCAACGCACAGAAAGAAATAAGGTTTTTAGCTTTAATGTCTATCAGGGACACTAAAAGTCTGAAAATCTATTCCAGCCTCTCATAGATAATTTGACAGTTATTGGACTTCCAAAATAGATGGAATAGAAGTAGATGTTTCGGTCTAGGACACTAACGGCGTTCATTGGTACATGTCTGGTATTCCGTTCCACCTCTGTGACGCCTGTTGTCCCATAAAACAGATCACATCTTATGAAAATTGAGTGATATTTTAGGCCAGTACTGTTTCGTGTATGTAACTTAGTTAAGAGAGTGAATAAACTTCTAGAGCACGGTACTTCTAAAGTCTAAATAGCAAAATAGGTTATCAACCCACAATATCTGTGGAATATGTTATGATCTTCTGACGTACAAAAATCAACCCAATTTAAACTGGTACATAATGTAGTAAGATTTTGATACACGCCTAGAACATGTTCTATCTTTTTACATGACTTCAAATTCTTAATGATTATTTTTAGATGTATAATGAGGCTAGAGATCTTTACGTTCCAATTAATGTGGTTAAAGGTAATGAAGGGGAAGACACAAAATAAACTGGACACTGTCTGATGATTCTGGCTTGATTACAAATTCATAGGTTTTTACCACATTGATCAAAAAAAAGACGTTATGGGTTTTGCACGAGCAGTCTTCCTTTTAAAAGTATTACATAATATTCATTAAAACTTTATCCACGTTTTTCATTAAAGATGGCTTTCCTTATTGTTTACTGTTGAATTCAGCAAACTGTTTAATTGGTGTTTTTAATGAATTATCGTGTATTCTTAATCATATCATTATGTTCTTATTGCATAAAATTAAGAGTTTTAACCAATCATAAATGTCCATGTATATGTACAGTCTGGAAAAAAAAACCTTTTTGACCTTTCTTGATCTGTCACTCATTGGAATTCTGCTGGTAATTAGCTTCTAACTTAGCTAATTATGAATTAATTATGGACATTAGAACACCTCTACTTTCTATTCATATAAGTATTAGCATTTTCATTTTCATAAATGAAAATAAGGGAATCCATCTTTAATATTAAAATAAGGGAACCCATCTTTAATATGAAAATAAGGGAACCCATCTTTAATATTAAAATAAGGGAACCCATCTTTAATATTAAAATAAGGGAACCCATCTTTAATATTAAAATAAGGGAACCCATCTTTAATATTAAAATAAGGGAACCCATCTTTAATATTAAAATAAGGGAACCCATCTTTAATATTAAAATAATGGAACCCATCTTTAATATTAAAATAAGGGAACCCATCTTTAATATTAAAATAAGGGAACCCATCTTTAATATTAAAATAAGGGAACCCATCTTTAATATTAAAATAAGGGAACCCATCTTTAATATTAAAATAAGGGAACCCATCTTTAATATTAAAATAAGGGAACCCATCTTTAATATTAAAATAAGGGAACCCATCTTTAATATTAAAATAAGGGAACCCATCTTTAATATTAAAATAAGGGAACCCATCTTTAATATTAAAATAAGGGAACCCATCTTTAAGTGTGGGATTTATTTTATTAGTTTCTAAATTTACCATTATAATTGGAATTATATGATTCAGTCCGAATTTGCTTGTTTTGTAGAATAAAGGTGCAGGCACACGAGCAGTCTTGGTCGGAGACTTTTGTCGCCGATTAGAGTCTTGTCTTGAGTTTCAACGACTGGCACGGGCACACACGAGACCAAAATTTTCCACCTTGTCGATAATCATGTGCTGAGCATGCAATTGAAAGGAAAATGAATCTGATGACGACAGCCTGTCTTGTTGGCATAAAACTATCGGAGACAATTATCAAACTTGTTTGATATTATAAATCCCGTCGGCGACACGATAATCTTGTCGTGGAAGCACGGGCACACGCGAGATTTTACTCAAGGTTCGAGTCGGAGACAAAAATCTCCGACCAAGACCACTCGTGTGCTCGCACCTTTACAATAACTTTTAAAGAACACCCCACCGACCAATATTATTGAGAGCCTTCCTTAGTCCCCAAAACAAAATGCAGTTTGCTGATCGACAAATAATTTCTTTAAAGCATAAAGCTTTAATTCCACAAAATACAGCTCTGTACGCTATTCTGCCCGTTAACCTATTTAATGTGCGATTGTGAAGGGCAAACACACGAAGCAAATACCTAAGCAATTACAAATGTAGGCGTTTGTAGTGGAACTAAATGACGATATATAAAATATAAACTGATCAATTATTATACTGGTTGAAGTATATTATAATTAAAAGCTAGTCTAAGTCAATCGTGTGTCAAACCAATCTGACACGATACCAGCCTTTCACAACTCTTATTGCTAGTTTTAAATATATATTTGTAAGATTGTTATTATGATAAATATACATACTAGAAACATAACCTAACTGCATGTCTACGAGACTCGTTAAAATCTCATCATTCAAAAAATAACTTGAGAAAAACGAATGACTTAAGGGTTTCACGACATATAGACTCATTTCAATTCAACCGAACACGACATGTAATATTTTCTGGTATATTTTTGGTTCACACTGACAGTTATTCAATACAGGGATACATAAAATTTCCTAAGTAGAGATCGAAGCTTTGAAGTGGAAACGAATTATTTGATTAACCATGATTTTGGCAGTTTTCATATGAAGTTAAATTCAATCTTCGCCTTTTACAATCTTAACTTCTATACAAGACAAACACTTCAAATGACTCAGGACATATTACGAAAATTCTAGAAAAATGGAGAAAAATACCAAGCATTGTTTTCTGTCATACAAATTGTATGTTTTTTGTGTTAGTTGGGCACTTAATTGTACTTTTAACAAGACAAACACTTCAAATGTTTCTCCGGGCATATTCTAGAAAAAATATCGAAAAATAGCCAGAAACAAGAGCATTGTTATCTGTCGTATCAATTGTATTTTTTCCGTTAGTTAGACACTTGTACTTTTAAGCAAGACAAACACTTCAAATGTCTTTGAACATGTTCTGACAATTCTAAAAAATGGCGGAAAATAGACAACTTAAGCACGTATAGAGAGAAGCAACAGTATTGTCTTCTGTTAAATTTACGTTATTTTTTTTCTATTAAATTAGACGCTTGTACACTAACCTGAGGTCCAGGGTATTTTCTGTTACACTGCTCAGCGAGTTAGACGCTTTCTCGCTAACCTTTTTACATTCCGGCATAGGTTGAGATAATACCTTCGTATTTTTTAACCCGGCTTCCCCATGTCAATAATGCACTTTAGAGGCACTGGCATGGAAAAGTCGTCTAGCCCTTCTGTTGGGACAATAATCTGATGCCCTGTTTACTGCAGGTTGGGCAGACTGATCCTCAACAAAAGTTAAAATCCATATCTTAACATTTAGCATTTACGAAAAATCAACGACGAGTTACAGTTACAAGGGTGTTTCGTCTCATTTGTATTGACGTGTTTTTCACCGGAAGTTAATCTATTAGAAACTGAATGGCGTCAATAATTTACCGTGAACTCAATTGGCAGGTGGCTCCCGTCAAGTCTTTCACTCCATGTCAAAACATTCAACACAAAACGAAACATTACAGATAAATCAATAGACATTATCTGTTTCATCTCCGTACTAACCAAACGTCGAAACATAGACAAATTATGATTATCAGACATCTAGAAGCGTTAAGAATCGAAATAAACTGTCCTGTGCTTTATTATTCAAATGTAGAAGCATTGACACGTATAATCTAGACGTATAGTGACATGTATTGCGCAATTAGGGAACTTTTGTCAGGTCTATTGCTCCAATTGTCTCTTTGTCTTTATTTCTATCTTCATTGCCAACAGACTGTAGTAGACAGGCTCTTAGTGAAATTGCTTTATCAAAGACTAGACACTTGTTCTTTGTCGGTTCCTTCTATACCTACACTACTAACAGGGCAATCCGAGGGTATCAAGACTTTGACCGTATCAAAGAAAAATAAGGTTTCAGTCTGATATCTATAAGAGTCGTGATGATCTGAACAATGGTCCTGAATAGTAAATCACCATGATAGTAAATCATACATAGTAAAATAACAATGGACGTATTAGTGGGTATATTGTTTTCAGTTTTAACACAATAACAGGAAGTTGTTAGTGTATTATGTATACAATCCTTTATAATGGGCCAATATTGAAGGTAAGGGATGACAAAATTATAAAGATATTCATGGGCATCCAGAGTCACAAATTTAACAGAGGGCGGTGTACCTTCGGGGAGAAGAATGATATACTCTAAGATATTTTAATGTCGGCTTGTGAGCAAACACCAGAAACACCAGGCATTACCTCAGTGGTTCCCAACCTTTTTTCAGCCTTCACACCCCTGGAGCAATCACCTAGACCTTTCACATCCGTAAAAATTTTTTTACACATTTCCAGCATGTAATGATGTGAGGTGCTCTCTCAATTTAAGATAAATTTTTCTCCTACACCAATTGGCCGCACCCCTGACACCCTAGTCCCACACTCCCAGGGGATGAAAACACCCCAAGTTGGAAACCGGGCCATTCCTTAATCTGAGTTACATTCCAGAGGGTGCTTGTTTACACATTTTAAATCCCTCAACAGTTGTCTTCAAATCATGGAAAATATAGAAAGTGAGACCTTATTAAATTCATTTTATTTCCAAATCATGGAATGTATATCCATCCTCTCTCTCTTCCCTTTTTTCTTTCTATATTTGACAATGATCATAGCCGCTCATTGAAATTAGATTACAATTTCGATTTATTTTTCCCTGATATTTTAGTACACATTGTAATCTACCAATTCTAATGACGTTATTCTTAACCAATCAATGCATGTCATGTAATAAACTTAATTGTGCCCCAACCTCCAACACACCCTCACACACTCATATAGTTGAGCCATTACACAAATCTTCCCTGTTATCGAGAAACGGATCTTACAATTAGTTTGATCCTTACTGACCCCTCTCACTGAAGCATGTTTTAAATAATGTTATTCTTTTTTTCATTGTTGATTGATTTTAAAATGTCATTCATTTCGTCTGAATAAATTTATTCACCGTTTAAATGTCATTTACAACATTAGAATAATCATCTACACTGAAGTATAAAAAATATAGGTTGAAATATATTATAATTTAAATGAGCAATCTCAAAGTTTAAATAGACGCCGGAGAAGGAGTATGGTATAAAAGTCGGTGGGTTTAGAATAATTGTCCAGAATCCTTTTTTGGCCCTTTTTTTTTACCTCTGATCTTCTTTTATGCTTAAAGTGCAGAAAAATACGATTTAGATTAGTTTAGATATTTTTGATGTAGGTTTTGCTTATTCCATATGTGCAATTTCAGAACAGTCCATGATTTATCAAGAGGTACATCTCGAAACAATGGATTTACCAACTGTAATGTTAGTTGCCATGAAAACTGTTAATACAACTTTGACGTTGGGCTAGTGGTGAAGAATTAAACGGTAAATTATAATTGTACGGTAAACCAAAATAAAATTATTTTTTATTTACATGAAATGATGAAATTCGACAAAATCTACTCTTTTTTTATTTCGTTTCATGTTTAAGGTGATGGATTGAACAGTCTGTAATTTGACAGGTGCCGTCAATAAATTTGATAATTTTATCATGCTATTGCCGTGATACTATATAAATACGTTACCATCTGAAACAGCGTAAATAAAAACATATAAAATAGAGTGTAAAATACATTAAAATATTAGTTATTTTCTGAAGTGACACGACTGCTTGACGATATAATAAATTATCATTCGGTTACGTCCCTGCCTTCCGACCTTTCTAGCTCTGCGTCCCCCTTACGCCATTCAATATGAAACGGCGTAAAAAAAATATAAAAAAGTGTTTAAAACTCTCAGTTATTGTCGAAAAAAATATTATTAAGTGACTCGACTGTTTGATATAATAAATTATTCATTCAACAACGTCCCAGCTTTCCGATATTTCTAGCTCTGCGTACCTCCTTACGACATTCAATCTGAAACAGCGGAAAAAAAACATATAAAAAAGTGTTTAAAATACATCAAAAACTATCAAACTCTCAGTTATTGTCGAGAAAAATATTATTAAGTGACTCGACTGTTTGACGATATAATAAATTATGATTCGGTTACATCCCAGCTTCCCAATCTTTCAGACTATACGAATCACCGTGAGAAATTCTGACCTCGCTGGAACGCCCTTCTTTTACTAAAGCACGGAGTCATTATTCCCAATGATTTCATGAATCATTTTCTCAACAAAAAAAACTTTAAAATGGGGCTCTCAGTACCAAACAGATGATTCTGACCGCTTGTGTCCAAATTTCACCAATGAAAGTCCCAGTAAAGATACACCACATAAGTTGTTTTTGGAACTAAAATATGATTGACATTTAATATGATTAGAAAAATGAAAATCAATTACGATTTACTATAAATCTCAGAAACAGGGCAACAACTTAAAATCGATGAGCCCATCGGAGATAGAAACAAAATCAATTTGGATTTCAAATCAATCTGGATAAGAA